AAAAAAAAAAAAAAAAATCTCAAAACGACCCCCTTCACTTGGATTAAAAAAAAAAAAAACGGGAAAAAGGGCTTAAAAAAGGCTGGGGCTTCCAAAACCTCGGAAATTAAAACACTCTTACAGCTTTGTAAAAAAGATATTTTTTTTTAATAAATAAAAAAAAAAAACCTATGTATGTAAAAAAAAAAACAAGAGATATAAAAGGGCACAAATTTTTTTTTTTACTTGCAAAAAAAAAGAATAAAAAAAAAAAAGTTGATATTGTTTTTGTTTATTTTTGGAGGGTTAAAACTTTCAGTAAAAAAGAAAAACAACAAAGAATATAAATTTTCCAGAATCCACTATTTTTATAAATTCAACTTTTACAGGAATATTTAGGTTTTCGGAGCAAATTGGAAAACCAAAAAACAAGGTTTTTTTTTGCTTTACTTATAAAAAAAGGAAAAAAAAAAAAATGTAAATTTGATTGGCCAAACAAAAGAAAAAAAAAGTAAGATTTTTTGGAAAAAACAATTTTGAACACAAAAAAAAAGAAATTAATCCAACCCCCCGCCGGTTTTTTCAAAGGGCCTTCGAAAAAACCACAATTCGGTTTTTGGACCGCTGGGTTGCGGGCTTTTTTAAAAAAAAAAAAAAAAAAAAAAAAGGGCTCTAAAAAACATGCAAAAGGAAATGGACTAAAAAAACAAAACCCCAAAAAAAGCGAAAAATTTCCAAAAAAAAAGCCAGGCAAGTTTTTTTTGACCATAGGCGCTTTTCACAACGTTGGGAACATTGTCCTGATGCAATTCAAGGGTTAGAACAGAAAAAAAAAAAAAAAAGAAGGGGGTCCAAACTCCACCATGTAAAAAAATCAAAAAAATTTTTGCTTTTTACTTTTACAACAAAAAAAAAAACCACAAAAACACCCCCAACAAACACACCCAAACAAAAACCCAACAACCAAACACACAACCCAAACCAAAAAACACACCACCAACAACCCACAAAACCAACAAAACAATTTTTTTGCAAAAGGTTTTCAAAATATAAAAGGAAAAAATATTATAACATTAAAGTTTGTTCAAAAAATTTAAAAAAACAAAAACAGCATATATGCCCAGAAAAAAAAAAACTTTTCTTGCAAAACCTTCCCTTTCTGCTTTTCCCACCAAATTTTTTTTAAAAAAAAAAAGCGTTTTGGGAAAAAAAAAGGGAAAACAAGAAAAAAAAAAAAGCCCATGGTTTTTTCAAAAAACCAAAAGGGAAAGGGTGTTGGGTAGTTGGGCGGTTTAGAGTGTTCGTTTTGGATTTTGGGGCAGCGCGGTTTTTCAAAAAAAGGGGGAAAAAAAAGCTTGTGAGGGGTGGCGGGGTTCAAAAAAGCCCAGATGTTGAATTTTTTTTCAAAAAAAGAAGAGGGTGGGTTGTGTTGGCGGCAAGGAGAAAAAAAAAAAAAGGGACAAAAAAAAACCTTTTTAAAACAAAACGGGGAGGGGACGGGGTGACAAAGATGCAGAAAAAAAGGTTTTTTGAAAAAAAGGCCTTCGTGTTGTGTTTGCGGGACTTTTTTGAAATTTTTGTGACCAAAAAGTTAAAAAAGGGAAAAACAATTTTAAAAAAAAAAATTTCCCCCGCAAAGAATCCAAAAAAAAATAAAAAGTTCAAAGGGAAATTTCGGCAATTCTCAAGTTTTTTTTCCCGTTTTCTGGAAGGAAATGGTTTTCAAACAAGTCAGTTTTTTTTGTGTTTCCAATTTTGAGCGTTGTTATTTAAAAAAAAATCTTTAAAAGAAAAAAAACTTTTGCTCTTTCTTTTTTCAAATTCCTTTTTCTGTTTTTTGGAAAAAAAGAAAGGTCTGTTTTGTCACTTTTTTTTAAATCTTTTCAGAAACCAAAAAAAAAAAAAAACCTTTCAGGTTTCCCACAAAACCCTTCTTTTTGGTTTTCTTCATTGTTTGGGGCGACATTTTTTTAAAAAAATTTTTCAATTTTTTTTTACTTTTGAGAGGCTTTTTCCTGTTTTTTACAGTTTGGGTTTTAAAAAAAACAAAAAAAAATCCTGGAACATGGTGGTTTTTTCAAAAAGGTAATTCTTTTAAAAAAAAAGAAGAAAAGGGTTATTTAAAAAACAAAAAAAACACCCACAATGGTGATTAAAAAAAAAAAATCCTTGCAGAAGCCTTCACTTTTTTTACCCCTTTTTTTACAAAAATATATACATGAATTAAAAAAAAATTATATGATAAACAATTTTAAAAATGGGGATTCTGGTATTCGGATGATGGTTAAAAACAAAAGAATTTTTCCCTTCAATTTTAAAACTTTTCTTGCAATTTAAAAAAGATAAAAAAGGGTTTCGGGCCTCGGTTTTTTTTGAGAATAGATTTTCTCTTTTTTTACATTTGGTGCACCAAGGGGTTGGCTTGAGAAAAATGCTTTTTTAAAAAATTTTAAAACAATTTTTAGCCAAAAAGTTTTCCAAAAAAAGTGGGACTTAAATTTTTTTTTTCCAAAGCGTTTTTTTTCATAAAAATTTTTATATATGGAAAAAAATATAAAAGGTTAAAACTTGGATATATATTTAACAGGCGTTTCCTCTACCCTTTAAAAATTTGTATAAAAAAAAAAAAAAGAAAAAAAAGGTAAAATGTATTTTAAAACAAAGAAAAAAAAAAAAGCAAAAAATAATTAATTTTTGTTGGGAAAATAAAACAAAGGAAAGAAAAAAAAATGAAAAAAAAAATTTGTCAATAAATAAAAAAAAAAAAAAAAAAATGCAAAAAAAGTACTGGACCATTAAAAAGATAATTTTATTTTCTTATTAAAAAAAAAAAGAACAAAACAAAGAAAAACAAAAAACGCTTTAAAGGCAAAAAAAAAAAATGGCAGGAAAAAAAAAAAAATTTGGAAACAATTTAACGGAAAAAAAAAACCAAAAAATTTTGTTTTTCCAAAAAGTTTTTTGGCACTTTTAACATGTTGTAACGTTTAATTTCACCTTACCTCAAAAAGGGCCGACTGTTATTTTTTTCGTTAATTATAATATAAGAAAAAAGAAAAAAAAAAAAAAAAAAGTTAATCTAACTTAAAACTTTGTCTTGAGATTATATATAATTTTAAAAAGATAATTTTTTTAAAACAGAAAAGCTAAATTTAACATTATTGATTATTTGGGTAGTTTAAAAAAAACAAATGGCGTTGTTTAATATTAAATTTTATCCCACAAAGCAAAAAAGAACAGGAAAAAGAAAAACCAAGATTATTTTCCAAATTTTATTTTTTTTAAAGGAAGTAAAAGGTATTCAAACCATTGTTCAAAGCTTTCAACAAAGATAGCCTTTTGTTTAGACCTCAGTTTTTTAAAGAAAAAAAAGAAAGGAAAGAAAAAAGTGAATGTGTTGTGTCGTTGTTTTTTCCCCAGTGGTTGATTTGGGAAAAAAATTTTTGGGAAAAAAGCCAAAGGCTGTTTTTTTAGGTTTTTTTTTTCGTATGTTGTTTGGTCATTTGTAATAAAAAAAAAAAAAAATTTTAAAAAAAAAAGAAGAAAAAAAAAAAAAGCTCTTTTGGTGGGATGTCAATTTTTTAAAAACAAAAAGAACCAAAAGTAAAAAAAAATTGTAGTTTTTTAATTTTGGTTTGCTGTTTTGGGGAAGAAAAAAACTTTGGTTTGTTTTCTTTTTAAATATAGTTAAAATTCTTAATGTTTAAAAAAAATTTATTACCAAGGCCAGAAAATGTAGCAAGTTTTTTACTTGGGTTTCCACCATGTTGTGTTTTGATTTTTTCACGTAAATTTTCTCAAAAATAACATAACTTTTGTGCCTGTATTAGGTTTTTTGTTGTTTGTAAGTATCTCTGTTGCTCTTTATATTCCTTACCCGCTTTGTTTTCCTTCGCGCGGTTGGTTCGTTTTTTTGTTTATGAAATATATAGGGAGGGGGAAGAACGAATTAAAAAAAAAGAAAAGGATACTGAGAAACTACTACAGAAGTTTTACTGAGCAAAAGCTATGCGTACACCCCCACAGTCATCGCTGTGCTGGCTAAGGAATTTATAAGATAAAGGTTTGATTAAATTAAAAGGACACATATTCTGTATCGCTATGACGAGCATCAATGAAAAAATCACAATTTACTTTGTGTTAAATAATTGAATCCACCAGAAGGCAGTTCTGGACTATTTTTACATTAAAAACAACGGAAAACTAAACTGCAGTGCTTATTCAATGATTCCAACACATTGTCCACGGACAACGCCTTCCATCCTTTTCTCTTAAACTGGAGTTAACAAAGCTTTGTGCAGGCTCGTTTACTTCTTAAAATAAATGAAAATGAGATTTTCCCATTGTACTTCTCCACGCTATTGGCAGGCTGGGATATTTCTGACACCATTTGTTGTGTACCTCAATATTATGCGATTGGGTAACATCTTTTAAGACAAAGGTTAGTTAGATTTACTTTGTTTAAATAAAAACATTAGCTTGAGGAAATTCAAATGGTTAAAATAAAAGATTGTTTCCGTTTCATTTTGCTTCTTAAGCGTTGTTCGTTTGTTCTATATATGAATGAAAATATTTGAGGTAACTTTTTAATTGAACTTTCCTTTCTCTTGTTTATTTCACATATTTGCTGCTTACATTACTTTCTATACATTAATAGTAACGGCTAATGAATCAAGTTACTTTAATATTATGACGCTTGGATTAAGTCACTGACTTGTAATTGTAAATTTAACTTCCAACCCTGGTGCCAAATGTAGAGAAATCAACGAGCCAACCTTTCTTATGCAGAAGTTAATGAGGATCTTTACTCGACTCGATACAGACCATTTAATCCATTGTTAAAGGGGTATGAGTGCAGATTTAATCCATGTGTTTTTGTTTAATACTTTAAGACCTTTAAACATGTCAGGATTTAACACTGTAACAGGAAGCTCTCAGTATGATTAATGTCGCCACAATGAAGAACAAAGAAGGTGTGAACTGAAGTTTTGTGAAGATTAAGTGACAACAGACCTCTCAACAGAAGGATGAGGAGACAGTTTCTTAAAGATTATAACAACGCCTCAATGGACACAAACTGACTGTGAAACATCTCAGAAACGGAAAAAACTGATCCGATCTGACTTTATTTGATCTGCGGGGAATTAAATGTTCTTTTTACTGTCACAATCAAAAAGTCGCAACACACCGAGGCTTCACTTTCTGACATTCTGTCACCCGTCTCCGTTGTTAGGTTGTCTTTCTCTGCCCGCACACACCACCTCTCTGACATCACATCTGGCTGACCCCGCCACCCTCACAGCTCCCCCTGAACCCTCCCAACCACCCGCCCACCCTCCTGTGAAACCATGGCTCTGTCTTCACGCTTAAAACTGTGGGAGCAGAAGGGAGGTGCAGAGTTTTCTGCATGCTGTGTTAATTGAACAACTAATGTATAATCTTGACTGCATGTGTGTGTGTGTGTTGTGTTGTGTAGTAGCATTGATTACATGGTGAGTGGACCCTCTGTTCTAACCCTGAATCATCAGGACATGTCACTGTGAAGCCTGTCACTGCTGTGATCGCTGTGTTAGTCATTCTGCATGTTAGAGCTTTTTAAAGCCGCACAGCGTCACCGATGTGGTTCGAGGCTGACGGCGGTGGATATTTGTGTCAATGTTCAATACTTTTGTGCAATCAATACATTTTCTATAAGTAAAGCACTTCAATTCTACTAATTCTGTACTTAAAGGTTGAAATGTTGTGTTTTTACTGAGTACTCAAAAACACACACTTATTTTGCAGTAAAATGTCCTGTTACTGGTTTATTATTATATTTACAGCTGTAGTTATTCGAGGTGGAGCCAGCTTTAGGCTCGTTTAATCCAGTGAGGGGTCGTGAGATTGTTAATGGGAGAGAAAAGAATAAATGATACATAAATGTCATTTTTAGGACTTTTAATCTCTGCTTTTTGCCAAATACTGTAAAATATAAATGAAACAAAAGCGTTTGTGTTTCCACCGCATCAATAATAAGAATATAGAAACAGCCAATCTTCTCTCTGATGATCTTTTTTGTTTAAACTGAGACTTTCTCATAATTAATTAAAAACTCCTGGTTCTACATTTAAATAAAACTTTACATTTTAAGTTAAAGATGATGTAATACTATAAAGTAAACTGTAATATATATTATATTAAATTAGCATTAGCAGTCCTTTAATTGCCTATGACTGAATGTTCATTTTTCTTTCACACTTTAAGTAAAAAGGTCTGAATACTTTGTTTTAAACCACGCTGGGACTTTGAATCCTTCTGCTCAAATCTATTTTAATGAAAATCTGAAGCACTGAAGTTCACGCCCTGGCTTCAGTTACACTTCAGTGCTGGTGTTTTTTTTTAAACTGCTACCATTGCTGCCACATTTTCTCTGGTTAGTCATCCAATACACAGAGGGATAAAAGCATTTTCAAGCGCACTCGTGTGGATCCTGGTCTAAATCTGGCATTAAAGGACCAGACTTTTATGAGCTGTGTGAGGAGGAATAAAAGATATCCAAACAGATCCATTAGATGAGTTTAGTTTTGCAGCCCGGTCAGTTACTCAGCAAGTTCCTCCCAAAGTTCCTCCGACTGTAGCTCGTCGTCGAATGTGAAACAGCTGTCCTATACTGACCTTTATGATATTCCCTATTGTGTCAGCAGGTGATAACTATTAGTTAAATGTCAGGCCTCGGGCCACCTCTCGTTCCCTCGTCACAGCCGCTGACTCATGTTTCCTCGTAAAAGCCGAGGACGCGCTGGAAAACTCTGAGAATTAAATCATTACAGTTGAAGACGACAGGGTTTGACTCGCTACTCCAGAAGATAGCAATCGCTGATGTTATCTAAAGGTTACCGACAGTCAGTTATCGGGGGCCAGACCACGTCCGGCCTCGCAAAGCAAATGTAGAGAATGTGCAGAAAGATCCTGTTTTTAAAGGGTCCGCTCACCCAAATGACTTAATACCATATTTTCTCTCTTTCCTCTGGTGGTATCGAGTCGTACAGATAGTTTAATGTGCAGGTTTTTAGATATTTGTCTTCCACTTTCTTCACTAGCTAGTTGCTAGCTTTGGCTGCAATTTTATGTTAGGACACGATTCGCCTTTAGCTTAGTATAAACCTAGCAACACGTATCACGATCACTCTCCACCAGACTCCATAGAGAAAAGTGATAATTTTAGCTCACAGATCATCGTAACTTCATTCAAGGTGTAAAAGAACACTCCCATTAACGTTGAACGCTGGATTACACTCTGATACAGTGGAGGCAAATTTATCTTCTTTTGTGTTATAAACATCTGTCGTCACAAACAGTGTCCTTGTTATTCTGATAATCGATATGCTCCCATTATTCAATATTTCTTACAATAAAGGATAAAAACCCTTCAGGAGGGAAGAGATAAAATATGTTTATTATATTTTGGGTGAACCTTTAATGTAACGTGAATGTGTGCATGTACCGTCTTTTGTTCCCACAATGACTTGCTGTTTGTTTCTAATTCTACCTCCCTTTCATCCATCGATCCAACAGATAAAGGAGGAGAAAACGCCGGTGGCAACAGCCGAACCTCCGCCGCCTCTGTCCGCTCTGCCAGGCGGCTTCCTCAAACAGCTGGTCAGAGAGACGGAGAAGGAGACCAAACAGAAAGAGCCGGAGGTCAAAGACGAGAGACAAGTCAGTGGTAGCAATATGTAACTGTCATTAACAGCGCCACCAGTGGCCGTTCAGTGAACTGCAGTCACCGTCCTGTTGACTGAACGCTGTAAAATAACTGACGATCATATTTAGAATAACGTTACT